GATGGTATTCCGATCGGCAACGTTGACATGCTATTGCTTCTCTACGGACTGCAGAAGAGTCGAGGATCGTTGTGTAGAGCGTTGTGTCGATTTGATGGAAAGGCCCTGGCAACGTAGAGAGGTTCTGACGATACTGCACATCAAACTCGTAGACAGCTTTCCATTGAAATTTCCGATTAGCTTTCTGTACTATGATTCGGTAACTCGAAAGTTCCTGATAGAGTGATGGGTCGGTCGTCACTAGTTTGCGTTCATAGCTTGACCAGGCTTCAAGCCAATGATCGAAGGATTCGATCGTAGGGCTTTTGCGTTTGTTGGCGTCTTCCCCGGTTGAATCGTGGGGTTTAGGTAGGAGGGTGGACAGGTCGACATAGTTATAGCTAGACGACGTTTCGTCGAAATTACCTGAGCTCGCGCTAGCTTGTAAACCTGTAGGAATTGTCGGGCCATTGTTGCAGTTGCTCACGGAGATCCTTCTGGTCGAGTTGTAGCTTCCCCACTTGTTGCGATAGAAGCCTTATTGCGTTGAGTAACTCTCCATTGGTCTGTGTTGGGGAAGTCTCATGAATATTAGCCTCGTGGTCGCTGTATTCGTCGTAATCGCTACTGGGTCCCTGGCAAGATTTGTGCATCTTACCAAAGCGATGATTTTCCTGTGTCGTGTGACACCCTGGACAGTAGCGCTGTCGCTGTTTCTTTTTCGATGACATAGTAAACGATTATTTACTATATTGACTATTGACTATGACAACGCGTAGACTACAGAACGACGAACACTGCAATATGAAACACTACACTTAATGTACGTGATCTAGTTACATAGCTATGTCCTTGTGACAGGTAACCGAATCCCTACCGCTCCACTCCCATTAACCTATGTTAATACTTAACATCACTAAATTCAAGTTCAAGTTCTTAATAAATAAAAAGTATCCCTTACTTTCAACAGGATGGAACTGTCTACATTCATTGGCAAATATTATTTTGGCCTACTGTCTCCTTCATCAGGGAGGCCCAACATTGACCACTGTAGTGTGTTCTTTTATACTTAACCTGGTAAGAGCAACGGTAAACCTAAATATCTGTAATAATTCTTAGCCTGTATAGTGGACCTATAAACTGTTTGGAGGGGGTCTGGAAAAGGGAGGGTCATTCCCATTCAATTCCAGAAGATTTTTAAAGGGCCACTAAACATGCTATTGTAACCTTGGTAAGATCGGTCATAAATACACTCCCTAAGTTATGGTACCTTTGTTTAGCATTAGGTCTAAGGATGCATATATACTGACTCAAACCTAACAGTAAACCAGACAGAGATTGAACTGATAACAGCATTAGCCAATCAGATTATGAAACATTTATTTATTTGATACTGTTATCTGATTGGTCAGTTTTATTCAAGTGGTCCCGATTATTAGTGTGTCTGCAAAGTAAACGTCACAGCGTTTGCCAATCAGATTATGAAAAATTTATTTATTTAATAGGGTTATTTGCATGTAGCATATTATTGTCGCTCTCTAGATGAGTTCATGCTGGACTGGTCTGTACCACATTGTATACTGTGTTTACGCTTGATAGGTAGGTGAATGACTTGAGAAGAAGAAAAAAATCAATCTGAATAGGATTTCCCATTTTATCATATCCCCCCCCCCTCCCTCCCCTCCCCTTTGGAACTTCCAGACCAAGATGCTCCCCCTCTTCTTCAGAATTCTTGATCTGAAAATCCCCCTGTCTCCCTCAAAGTTTCCCAAATGCCGCCCTTGGTAGGGGTGTTTATATTTTTACTGGAACTGTCCATTCACAGGTAAAGACGTCTCTCTCTTAGTATTACTTTATCTTTACAGGTATTGCATGGGACTATTATGATGGAAACAACTTTAATAATAACGTGAGCATCATATATTTTCTATTACTGATATAATCTTTGCATGAAATATCATTTTTGAAAAATAATATTGAGAATCTAGTTATAATTGTGATGATTATTGTTTAGACCAAAAAAACGGATATTGGGGACCCTGTGTAGTCACGTAGCAGATTGTAGGGAATCTTTGTAGTTGAAAAATAAAGGCGGGCGAAAAAGAAGAACAATTATAATTAATTATTATTTATGATGGTTATGGTTATTTGATGGCCCTATGTAAGATTAGTTTTGACTAAATTGGTTTATTTTCCATTGCTAAATAAAGTTTATCATCGTCATCATTATCATCATCATCATCATTATCATTATTATGTATTGTGTATTGTAGTATTGTGATTGTGTGTCTAGATGCCATGATTGACATAACCAAAGTCAAATAGACCAGTTTCGAATTCCAAATTACCGCTGTATTTCTTGATTACAGACTCATTTAACACAGGGTTAGCCTCGATTTTGTGAAGAATATTCACGTGTTCCAGTCAAGGTCCGTCGAGCTTCAAAGTGATCCTATTGTTGAAGTTGTGCATTCTTTATTTTACCATTGGTATTTGTGAATATTTACGAGACACTGATACGAGGCTAACCCTCTGTAAATGAGTCTGTAATCAAGGAACACAGCGGTAATTTAGAATTCGAAACTGGTTTTGAACAGTGCCTTTATTTGCAAGAAGGTCTTAGATTTCTTTTGTTTTATCATTAGAAAATATCAGAAGACATGAAAGCCACGAGAATTTCTACACCACCAACACTGTTTGAGGTACATCAAAATGAATAAGAGAGATTGATCACCACTCAGAGCACCCTAAAAAGGGGGGAGGGGCTAGGATTTGAAAATATGAGATCAGTATGAGAAAACGGAAAACGTGGGGGACTATAGCCCCCCTGCCCCGCCCCCTCTGCGGCCCCTGCACCATCATATGTATTCAAGGGCGTATAGCTTTTATCCAGACACGTGTCAATCGATCAAATGTCTGTTTCATTACGTGAGTATACACTTATTCCGTTTTTATAATCTTAATGGGCATTATTTTGCAGATGACTGGATTTTGCTACTTTTTCGGAGGCGTTCTAGTTGGACCACAGGTTAGTGTAGATTCTAGCAAGATACTGAGGCTCCCCGGAATAAAATGTTCAAAACTGCGTAGTAGCATGATATAGGAGGGTGCCATTGGGGTACCCAATTGTCAGTACTAATTTTCCGGCCGGATGTCAGTTAACTGTAATAATTTTACGAGCGCTGGTCATAATATTAACCAAAATTAAAAATGTATCAGTTAACTGTTAACTACTAATTTTGTGTTATTTGTCAGTTAACTGTTATTTATTTGGACAATTGCCAGTTACCTACTTACCTCATTGGCACCCTCATATAGTCCTGTAAATGCGGTTAT